AGGGGCATGACTCCGCGGCAGTTTTTGCAAGGGCTTAATTTCCGGACGAGTTGCGGGTTGTGGTAGGTCCAGGAGGCCTTTGCCCCAGTGATCAGCACATTATTTCTTTTGATCTTCTGCTTTGACAATTAAGTTTCTTTCATTATCTTTCATCGGTTTCATCTGTGTTGATCTCTTCCTGGACAGCCACGCAGTTGATTATCTGATATAATGTTCTGAGGGTCTCTTTTTTCTTACGTCCTGTTCTGTTTCCTTTGCCAGTGTGTCGTAGAATTATCTTTTCCTAGCACTCTTCTTCACTTCTTCATTCACTGCGATGTACGTTGAACTCAGCTTCTGTATGCTGTATCAGTGTTTTTGCATTCCATAAGCTTATCCAATATGCGAATTAGAGTTTGATGTTTTGACATTTTTAGATCAACATTTTTTTGAAGTAGATTGTCTCATGTCATTATTATCAAAATTTATTCGGTAATATTAAAGCAGTTTAATATTATGGGTAAAATTATGAGCTTATTAAAACAGCTTGTATAGGTATTGGAGAGCATAGCAAAATATAAGAATATAGTAGTCACAATAATTTCTATTTATTGTCCATTCTTTGTTGGTATATTCATACATGTGTACCTGTGTACGTGTATGTGTCTGTGTCTATGTGCATGTCCGTTCATGTACAACTGGTGTTCTTTTTGAACAGTATTACAATTCAAGTATTGTTGTTGATTTACTCCACTTGTGAATATAGTATATACTTTTACTATATTATTGGAATAAAGTGTGTTCTACTAGACGCGTAAGACACTTAGCCATATGTCATGTTCAATAGGCATTATGCAGATAAAAATAGGACTGTGTATGGAAGCACAGATGATCGTAAATTACAGATGAACACTTTTTTCCTATGCATAACCATTCTAAGGACAATAAACATTCATGTATGTAATAGGAGGAAGATAATAAAGGTTGTATACAGATTGCTCTCCTTAGCGTATAGCGGGTGATCAATGCAGCTGTGTGTTATAATCCAATCCTTAGTGAATCAAATGAAGTTGTGAAATCTTGTCAATAAGCTAACTGATACGATACTATTGTGTGTGCACAGTGATTTCGATCTTAGATATTGGAAGAAGTCAATCAGTAGGGATTCTTGAACTTAGCAGTTTTTGTGCCCCAGCCACTTAGGGAGGCGTTGTGGATTACCTGGCACTGGGGTGTTCGACATGCTAAAAACCAACTGTGTATGACTGTTATTGACATGGCTCAAAATCGTTCTCAATGGATTTAACCTTTATGTACTCGCAGTGTAACGGTAGAAGATGTAACGTAATGCTTATTTGGAATTTGATGTCTCTATTAAAACTATCGTTTGCGCAGATCTTCCCTGTTGTCCTACTTCTACTGTTCGTATTGTCTTCTTTTCATGTCTCCCATGCTTAACAGCAGCTCTGGTTCATTTGCTATATTTGAAGTCAAGTCTATCACTCAGCTATTTGTTATTTTTATGCTGATGAATGTCTCTTTATGTACTACTGATAAATCTTGTCAATAGTATACGCGGCACTGGATCCATGTAACTCTCATTAATCGACAGATATATATTCTCGCTTTCTCTCTCTCTCTCTCCCTCTTACATATCCATTCATTATAGTTCCTTTAAATTTTTATTCTTTGCTACTTTTGTCTGCATGGAGTGTAGCTGCTTCAACTGATGTGAGCACTACGGTGAAACTTAGTCAGTCAACTGTTATTGACCCTTAAGTAAAAAAAATATCGTAAATCACACAAATGATGCTATTGACGAGTCATCAGTTACTTAAAAAGTGATACAGTATAAAATCTGAGTTACTAATGTGTTAATCTGGGTGTTTTGCTCCCCCAGCCCTTTATTTCAGACTTGTTAAAAAGCAAAGAAGCGATGGGAAATAAGTTTAAAATTTTTTTTGGTGTGTGTGTGGGGGGGGAGATTAGAAATGTAACATCGACATAATCAGTTATCATGTTTTTTTAATGGCTAAAATGACATATTGGATGATACGAATATTTAGAAAAATGAAATGTCAAATATCATTAGTTTAACGATATTCATTCATTCTAATTAGTTTTTTTTTCCAGTGCTTGGGCGTAGGTTGTACTATAAAGTTTAGTATAAGTATTCAGTGGATTATTTTATAATGCATCAGAATATTATGCTATGTGTACTATTCAAAAGTCTTGGAGGGCTGAAGACGACAAGTGTGAATGTTGAGTAAATCCTGTGTTTTTCTCTGGTGTTTTGGTTAAGATATCTCATTGTGAAACCAGTACTGCTGACTGCTTTCATAAATAGATTTGGTAAGGTATTGTTGTCAATCCAACTGGTATTCACCATAATGTAACACTGTTGTGTATGAAATTTGTGATTCTGCAGTTTCCATAATCGTCATTTAAGTGGTTTTCTTTTTAGATAGAGCGATAAAACTTGGTCTAAGTGGAAATGTAGATTTCTTCACAGAGTGAAACCGATTGGAGAATCATTGAAAGCTGTCGATAGCTTACTGGACAGCCGTTTCATCCTGTTTCTGGACTGTTCCACAGTGTCCTCGCACGTTGCATGCAAAAACCGATTTCAAACTGGGATGCGATAGATGTCCAGTTCTCTTTGGTTCTCAGTAATTCTATAACTGTTTATCGGTTTACCACAAAATTCACTTTGTAAATTTATCATAATCCTGACAAAACATAATATCATCACATCAAATTCTGGTTTTCATTCTCAGTGAAACTGTTTTGAACTACAACAAATTGTTTTTAGTTTCTTATCACTTAAGGAAATGAATTTGAAAACAAAAATCTTAGAGAAACCAAGAAACATGGGATATATAAATTTTATTATATCCTAGAGATTCTTTAACAGTGGAACTCATCTAGAAACTGTAGAAGTAATTGCTTTACAGCAGCAGTATAGTGTTTCCTTTTTTCACATACTAACCCTTGAATATATAATTTTGGTTGTATTCTATAATCTACTCATAAGTAGTGTTGTGTATTCTCTTGAAAAAATCATCCATAAGATTATTGATTTCAGACAGTATCTTTTGATATTATGCTGTACTTGTTGTATTAAGCAACATGGTATTTATTATTGTATAAAAGGAGAGTGCACTTCTATTTTAATTCCATAGTGTGTTGTTTAATCCTTGAACGTGCACACAATGTTAGTCATCAATGTATGTCCCATTCTATCTATTCTTTCTTTTTTCTTGTGTAATTGGTGTTATCATGTTGGTAGAAGTAATAGCAGTACTAGTAGTGCAAGGTAGACTATGCTCCTTACTATAGTTAAGTTTTTTAGTGTATCCAACCTTTGTTTAGATTATCTATGACTGATCCTGATCTGACCACCTGTGTAAACTGCTCTTTTGATATTAAAATGAGCTTTTAATTATTTCACAGTAGACTTTCTCATGAACATGCTTTCATCATATTCAACTTAGCACTGAAAATGAAAGCTTCTCAGTCCAACTGTCCACCTTAGACAATACACCTACGCTAATATCCCGACCTGAGCTATAAATCTTCTGCACGATTGCTAAGCATAAATCGATTCGTAATAAACCTAACTAGTGGTGGAATCATCAAACTTGTCCTGCACCACAAACTCGACAATTTAATATTAATAATTAACACATAAACTGATTATCTTCAAGATGAATGTTCGAAGAAAATCCGACCGAAAATTGTTACCCCAAAAAGGTGGTCTACGTAAATCGTCTATGGGTGACTTAATGTGTGTATGTATAGAAGACGATTTAAGCAAAGACGTATTTTTGGGTAAATTTTCTCATCAGGCTTACATTTACATAAGGAGTTTATTAGTCATAGGCATCTGAAATAATGTGGTTAATCAGAGTTCATGGATGTGAATTAATCGACAACAATCGAGGTGGTTGCTATAAAAAATAATAATAATAATAAGGATAAATTCACTCAAGCGTTTATATGATCTAGGTGATGGTGAGTGTATGGCTAGAAGTTGTATACCAATAGGGGTAAAGGGGGAAATAACAACTCTCATCTAGTGATTAGATAATATAATAATAACGATAATTTGTGAAACCGAGATTAAGATGTACGATCACAGCACAGCTTGATATTGATACTACAGTTAACAGTGCAAATAAAAGTATCACAAAATAATAAGATAATATTTACCATGAGAGATAATTATTCTAGTTTGGGAGTGAAAGCCAAGGGGCGGGGTGGAGAGAGATTAGGTTGAAAAATTTCCATTTAATTCAGCTTGGCTTTCCCGTTGATTGATTAGACCGAAGTGCTCCGCCTTAAGGTGATTTGTCCGCTCCTTGTGCAGATGATTTCGAAGATGTTTGATTATTTAACGTGAAGTAAATTAGTGGATGGTGACTAGCAGGGGAATCCAGAATGTTCATTTCATCCTATTTGGGACTCGTCATCTAGATGTGCCTGAAATCTCCAGTAAGTGAGTAATGGTGTTCCCACTGAGGCTCGAACCCCAGTACCCAATCGTTTCGAACGCCAAAGTGTTATTCACTGCGTTGGGGATGACTTGGGTCACGAGAGTCAAATCTTGTTCAACGGGTGTTAGTGATTGTTTGATTTAGTTTTTATCTGTAAAAATTGGTCACTGAGGCAGTAGATAACTTCATATCAATTTCTTTATAATATGAATCGCATAGTGTGGCACTATACACGCTAACGATTTTGTAACACTCCGAGATGCTGCACTGTACTGTTTGTTGATATAATAATTGATATACTCCTTGCACAAGAGGCAACAGAATAAATGAATACATTTGAATACTTTGACGGATAGGTTCGAGTCTCAATGCAAACATCAGTCGCTAGGGTATTACATATGTGTATCCAGCTTTAAATTCCACTTGTAGCCACCAAAAATTAACTGATGTCTTCTACTGTTCTCCTACTGCCTGTTATTTAATTTGTTTTTTCTTTTACCAATTTGTCTGTTTTTTTTTCTATAGGGATTTGATTTAGGCTCATCTTTACTGGACGAAGTATTCAAATGTTTTCAAATGGATAAGCCTACTGAGAAAATGATGAATAACAATGAAACTGATGAGAATAACAAAAGTGAATTGACCAGCACTATAAAAGAGATCGCTAGAGAACATTCAAGTAATCCTATTCAACAATTAGATTCTTTGAATTGTCTTGGTAACAGCTATTATGGTGATGAGGGGGGAAATAATAATAATAATAGTAATAATGATGTTAATGAGACAAGCGGTTTCAGTAGCACTTTGAGTAATAATTCTACAATGTGAGTTGTTTGATTCTATTCTATTATTATTATTATTAATATTTAGTTCTATTGTTATTTATTTTTTCACTTTCTATCATTCTGATTAAGCCATTTTTATGATGTTTCCTTCTCACATCCATGTTTATACCAATGTCAATACCAATGTAACTATATAACAGACTGAGCAGTAAGTTAGTTATTTATCTTTTGTGTCAATGACTGAAAGTGGACCATAAGTTGTTGGAGGATCCCAATCAGTTGCCCCTGGATTCCTACTATCTGGGTTCTAAGACCCCGTCGCTAAACATGCTATCGTTTTCCTGCAATCATCGTGAATAGTGCTATGCTGTTATCTAACCATTTATATTTTCTGTCAATTATAGTTATAGTGAATAGGAAGGACAAGGATCGGGGGTTAATTCATAGGGAAACCATATCCAAGATAGTTTTATGACTGACAAACTCCTTTTCACATCATGATCATTGGTTGAAAGTGAAACTCGGTCTCGTAGTTCGGTCTATAGAACTCTGTTCGAGTATTCTAGAGGCTGTTGGTTCGAATCTTGTCTGGAAGTTCTAGTTTTCCCCTTACCATCAATCAGTTGCCATTACATCAACAAGAGTTTATCATTACAAGACGCTATCTCAAATATCCTCCTACATTGGTGGTGAAGCGGTAGACTGCTCTCCATGGTTTATGCTAAACAAATCACAGTGGGCAAGAAGCGTTTCTTCATTCAACTCGATTTTAATTGTGATAATATTGCACGAATAATCAACAGACGATTGAATACGTCACTAGCCACAGCCTATTCTGCAGCTAAGTTGGTTCCCATTTACCGAGCAACTTGCTTTTTGGTGCAATCAAAAGTCGACAGATACCCTTCTCATGTTTACTCCAACTGTGTATAGAAATTTACATGTATCTGTGGGAGCAGTTACATAGGCAGAACAGAAAGAAGGGGATGTCTCCGATTTTCTAATCATGTACCAAAAAGCCTACGTCTCTGTTATGTACTCGTCACCAATAAGTTATGGGGTCGCTACCAATATTATGCTGTGACCGGTGTAAATATACGCTAATGAGATATAACGGACGTTAACGTACAGACTGGTACTGCTGAGTACTTAATTTGTCCTTACGCGAAAAGGGGAAAATCAGAAGACCAACACGTTCACGATGATACGTGTATTCTCCAACAAGGGAAATTGACTATCACACAAGTGTGTGAGTGAAAAGGGTACATAGTGTACGAAAGGTGTGAACAAGAGTGTATAAAAGTGTACAATGCAGAGTATATATGAAAGTGGCTAACATACATGAACCAATAAGATAGACAGTAGTTTTTCTTACCACCATTGGGTTCTGATTGGTTGTAATGTCATGTGACAAAGGTCATCATACATTGTTTATTTAGTTAATGGACAGACAAAACATATTGTGAGTTATGATGGAATAACGATCAATATACACATAGTAAACATATCAGACTGTCAAAACAAAGCAGACATCATGTGACTACATATCACCTCCCTTTTTGAGAAGATCGGTGATTAGTAGCTTGCTATCTTGACAACTACGATGGGTGCTGTCCATGCCGAGTACGTGACTGATGCTAATACGCCTTGTTGTTGTAGTCTCTCCAATTCTTCGTCAAATTTCGCGACGGATACATATGGGACTGGCCTCTGAGTGAAAAACCGGCTTTGCGTCTGGTAATACTCGAAAGGTAGCTTGCATCGAGGTGCAGTGACCTAAACCAGGTTGAAAAACAGGTGCAAATAGTTTGCATAAATCAGAAAAGAAGTTGGCTGAATTTTTATCCTTGTTGACTGCATTGCATACAGAATTAAGTGGGGCATCAGGCAGATGTAAACGGTCGAACCAATCAAGTCCCAAAAGATTTAAATCACTCTGGGTGACGTAGCAAGTTCCTGTGAATTTGATGTTGCAGAAAGAAACAGAACATTGGAGTTCACCAATTAGTTTGAGCCACCCACCACAGGCGCTGACAGCAGTCTGCAAAGTTTTTGTGATAGATGGTCTACCAATATCATTCCAAAGTTTCTATGATATAACAGTAATATCACAGGCGGTATCTAGCAGCAGACGCGTATCATGACCATTTATCTGCAGATCAATATATTTCCGCATACGTGGTGTTGTGACTTGACAGGTCGCGAGTAGATTCATTGAACTTTTTGGAGCTTTAGGACTAACAGTTGATCGAGCCTTCGCTGGATTATGATATTGGTGTTTGCGTGGCTGACGAAATCCGTTTTTATGACCGATGATGTTATACTTGCTGCAACAATGATTTTTGTATGGACATAACTTTACAAAGTGCCACTCGCCACAATGTCAGCATGGTGATGGTGGGGAAATATTTTGTGAGGTTGTATCAGTAAATGTAGGTTTACGCGGAACATTAGGAGAGGGTGGGTCAGGACTGGATGATGAAGAGAGATTTTTGCTCTTTCCTAATGCACGAATGTCAGAGCTTCTCGAAGTTGTTGATTTGATCACGTGCGTGTCCTTCTGCAGATTAATCAGCCGTTGATATTCATCAGCTATTTCATGTAGTGTTAACTTGGGATTTCTCTCTAGCTGATTGAGCAGTCGAGTTTGGATATCTGTGAAACGAGGAGATTGAAGACTGCATATCAGAATCAAGGCTTTGAACTGATCATCTGTTAAGGACCTGAGTCGAAATCTCTCACATTCTCGGTTGACTGTGCCAACGTGAGTAAGAAAATCATCATTTTCATTCATTGCCAGCTTGAGGCAACGATAACGTATGCTGAATAATGAGGAGTGGTCTCCAAAATGTTCACGCAGCAGCTTTATTGTATCATCGAAACACTTGTCACGTGGTTTCTGGGGTAAAATTAGGTTGCAGTACCTTTCATATTCTGCACGACCCAATTTACGTAGTAATAATCGTACCTTCCAAGCATCGTCTTGCGAGGCGAGATCAACTGTGAATATATCCTCATAGTGTTGATACCATGTGTCGAAAGCGACATTAGCATCTGGATCATAATTGGACTGCGTAATACTATTCACAATTCCGTCGACAGATGGTGCCATGGTATGATTCGGAGTGCTTGGCGTTGAAGCTGAACCAGTCTGTTTTGTGATGAGCATTTCCATTAATTTCATTTGTTGCTCAAATAGTAATTCCAATTTCGAAGAATCCATAGTTCTCCCGTCGCCAATAGTCTCATGGGAACAAGTGGTGTCAACAACACCATCGCCAGGCATCTCCTTGACATGGATCATTAGATGGAAGTCACAAAATGATTCAAAATTATCAATAGTTAAAAGAATTCAGTCCTCCTCAAGTTTGCTTAAGCAATCTCCATCATATGCCTAAAGCCCGATTTATGTGTTTAGAAAGAAGCGGTTATCTGTATTTCCTTGCCCTAGTAATTGGATGTTTTCACCCTGTCTTTCAATTGATTACATAATGCTGAAAGACCCCATTGTGTGTGATTATTATTGTGTGGAATAAAGTGATTATTATTTTTACTATTGTGTATGCATACATTGGTTTTTCGTTTAAAAATGAACTCTCTGTGTAGGTATATTAAAATTGTTTCGTACATAATGTCTCTTCGTGCTGTGAGCAGCTGATGAGAAGCCAACGAAATAAATATTTTATTCTGCACAAACCAATGTTGTTTTTTCTTTATTCAAATTCCTAAGGGGGAATAAATGTAGTTAATAAGCACTTGGTAAGTTTGGAAGTAAGCCACATTTTTCAACATTGTTTTTGATAATATTCCGTTTTTTTTCTGGTTATTTTCACTTCACATTATTTATTTTATACATTTTATCCATATATATATCAATATTGTATACACAGGGTGAAGTCTCCGGTTACACCATTGAAGAATATCAAATCTGATCTAGTTGAAACTAGAAGAGTAGTGTCGAAAGGGTATAACGCTGCCAAACCACTGCATACTACCACTTCATCTTCACCGTCTTCTAATTCAATAACAAGAAAAATTTTAACTAACGGTAGTTTAACACATCATAACAATCATCACCATCATAGCGTACAGGCAACCAGTAATGTTAACAGCAATAATAAAAACGATAATACTAACAATAACGCTGCTAACATAATTACTCCATTTATTTCTAGTCCATCGGATTGTATAAACTCATTGAATTATGAATCAGCAGATAATGAATTGACTAATTCAATTATCCATGACAGTTATATGATGAATGATGTCGTCGACGGTGAAGCCGATGGTGATGGTGATGTTAATCATTTAAAGAAATTAAAATCTGTGCAGAAAACAGAACACAAATCGTTATGGAAACGTAGTTCCTTTGGGAGTTTAACACGTCGTAGTTCATCTGTGTCGAAAACACTGCAAAGAAATAATTTCAATGGATTCAATCAATCAGATCATGATGAGAATAAACGATTGGTAATAAGCAGACCAGTTCTGCTAAGTCGACCGAATTCAAGTAAGTTATCCACTGTCTTTCTCTGTATATGTGTGCATGTGTTTGTCTGTGTTGTCCGTCATTTTTCGTTTAGTTGAATACAAGAGTAAATCGGTGTCGCCTTTTTAAACCACCAGACCACCTAAATATTTCCATCCAGCATAAAAGTACCGACTTTTCTCCGTTTCTTGTTGTCGTAATCTCCCAATTACGTCTTTGGATCGCGTGTTATGAGCTCACACACATTTTTAGTTGATTTTCAACCTACAACTGACTGTGCATTTCATGGAGAAAATGAAGACAGAATATTTTAGAGAGTAAAGTTTGATTTCAGATAGAACGACTTTGCTTCCATTATAGGTAAATTTTGTTTTGATAAAGTCTCAGACTAATAGAAAAGATTTGTAACTCAGGTGGATGATTTGGAATTGATAGTGTTCTCTGAGCTCCTTGGTTTAATTGCGGAGCTTTCATCGTCTTTCTGGACGACATCTTCAGCGCAGTATTTAGGATAAAGTGAAATGATTTAAATTTCTTCATGAGTCTCCCGGTAACCATCTTTAGATATTTATTGACCGTTTTCTATTGATTGGGATTTTAAACTTTCTGATCACCTGATTTACTTCTTATTAGTTGGTATATTTCATCTATATTAACGTGTTTATTAATTGCGTTTTCATTTGAGTACCAGGCTTCTAGGAATTCTCTGGCACATTTGGTGTTTCCTCTGTTTAAGATTTTGACATTATCCCAATCAAATTGATGTCCATGATCGTCTGAATGTATTGATACTAAAGAATTTATATCATGTCTTTTCACGGCTGATTTGTGTTCCTGGATTCTTATTCGAAGGGGACGCCCACTTTGGCCGATGTAATGTTTGTTACAGTTCACACAATTTATTTTGTAAATGGTGTTAATTTTATCTCCCTTTTCTATCGGATCTTTTGGTTTGCATAAGATAGAATTAAGCGATTCAGCTGGTTTGTGTGCTACATCTATATCAAACGGTTTCATTATTCTAGCCGTTATTTCAGAGATGTTTCTGATATATGGTAGGATGAATTGCTTTTTGGTCTTTGGTGATGGTTCTTTGTTGGTGCTTTCATTCGATTTTAAACACTTTTTGATGAAATTTTTTGGATAACCATTCTTCTTGAACACCGTTTGTAAGTATTTTTCTTCCATTCTTTTCAACTCTGGTGTGCTACAATGTGTTTGAATTCTTCTAAACAATGTCTGCACACAGTTTCTTTTGTGAGTAATTGGATTGTTGCTAGTATAGTTGAGTATTTGATCTGTGTGCGTTGACTTTCTGTATACTTGTGTTTCTAAATTTCCTGTGTTGGTTCTCCTGATTAAGACATCTAAAAATGGGATTTTGTTATCTAACTCTTCTTCTCTTGTGAATTTGATGTCTTCAAATATGTTGTTTATTAATTTATGGGTATATTCTAAATCATTTCTCTTAATTATTACAAATGTATCATCAACGTAACGTACCCAGATTTTCGGTTTAATTATAGGTAGAGCTATTAATTCTAATCTTTGCATAACGGCTTCAGCTATTAATCCTGATATGGGCGATCCCATTGGTGCTCCCTTTATTTGCTCATATATTTGAGTATTAAATTGAAAGTATGTTGTAAGGCATAATTTTATGAGTTCTATCCAAGTTGAACATTGCATTTTTATGTTTTCATCACTATAGAGTAATCGTTGCATAGTTTCTGTTGCTAGTTTTGGACTAATCGAAGTATATAATGCTGTGACATCAAAGGACACCATTATTTCATTGTCTTCTACCTGAATGTTTTTGATTTTCTCTAGAAATTGAATTGACGAATTGATAGAATGGTCGCATGATTCTGTTAGGTAATTTAACTTCCTGAAAAGTTCTCTAGATAGATTATATGTTGGTGTTCCTGGAAGCGAAACGATTGGTCGTAAGGGGATGTTCGGTTTGTGTAGTTTTGGTCTACCATAAAATCGAGGTAAAATGGGTCCGTTAGATCTCATTCGCCATTGATCTTGTTCTGTAATTTGTCCTGATTTCGTTAGTTTATTTAACGTTGTTCTGATTTTGTTATCGAATGTTTGTATAGGGTTTTTTGTCAACTGTTGATATACATTATTATCTTTGAGTAAATCCTCTGCTTTCTTTATGTAGTCTTCTGTGTCCAGGATTACTGTTGTTCTTCCTTTATCAGCCGGTAGAATAACTATATCTTTTCTATTCTTTAGTTTCTTCAATGCATTTTGTTCTTCAGTGCTAAGTTGGGAATTATGTCTTTTCTGTTTGAGTAAAGGTATGATACGTTGACGTATTTCTTGTTGTACTTCCTCATTTAATTTTGATAATTTGAATGATGATTCTAATGAAGCACAAAAATCTGTTACTGAAGCGTCACCAGTATTGTAGTTGAGTCCTTTCTGAAGAAGTTGTTCTTCGGCTTTCGATAATGGCTGTTTCGATAGATTTACTACGCAATCGTTTAGAGTTTCTTCAGATGGTTGTTTGGATATCTTAGCTAGTTTGTCTCTGAGGAAGGCTCGTCTTCGCTCCTTGTGCCGTTCGCTTATCAATTTAATGGCAGTATTTAATGTTGACAGATGTTCTGGGGTAAGAGTATGTTCAAGCTTCTCTTTCTGAAATCTAATCATATGCTGATATTTTTTAATCCTATTGTGTGCATCCGTGATCATTAATCTCACCATTTGTTTTCCATGTTGTTTGGCTAACTTCCAGCCTAGAGGGCAGTTGATTGGTGGTTTATATCTGACAGAAGCTGGTAGGGTCTGCTGGCGGAGACATTCATGAAGAAAGAATAATTGCTCTTCTGTAGAAACTTGCCGTTTAGCAAAGTCTTCCCATTTTCGACAGAAAAGAAGCGTTTCACGCTCGTAAGATTTTGAAATAATAGAAAAGATTTGTAACTCAGGTGGATGATTTGGAATTGATAGTGTTCTCTGAGCTCCTTGGTTTAATTGCGGAGCTTTCATCGTCTTTCTGAAGATGTCGTCCAGAAAGACGATGAAAGCTCCGCAATTAAACCAAGGAGCTCAGAGAACACTATCAATTCCAAAAGTCTCAGACTGTTATACAGTAATGTTTACTAATGACGTTTCGAGCACAATTTATTACCACTCATAATCAAATCAAAGTAATCACACGGCTTACTAACTTCATCTATATAGTTCCATTATTTCTCACTTGATTTGATTGGTGGTAGTATTTTCCCTAATTCAGGTATGAGTGATGAGTCATTCCTATTGAATGTGTTGGGTGTAGATTGTCGATGAACAAAGATTCAATAATCAGTACTTCTCTCTCTCTCTCTCTCCACCTACCTATATTACTTCTTATAATATAAATAAACCCACTCCCACCCTATTGTGTGGTTATGTGTTAATGCATGCATTGCAATGTAGCGCTGAGTTTTTTTTCTAAATTACTTATCTTCTCGAGGTCAACCATTCTTAGCCTAGCTAAATTCTTATGTTTTGACAATCTGACTACGCCTGACCTACTACCTACTAGTTTGACCTATGTAGTTGACCTTACTCACAGTGATTTCAGGGTATTTTTTAAGTTATATTATTTTGTCTAATTGGGTCAGTGAGTCGGTGGAACAGCGGTTAGCGCACTCGCCGACCATGCACATGGTCCGGGGTTCGATCCCCGGCTACCTATGCACTCTTTTACCTCGCTAAGCCAGTAGTGAGACTGGTAAAGAGGGAATGTTGGGCATGAGACTGGCTAGAAACCTCATCCTGTAAAAATTAACACCGCTACAGAAACTTCAAGCTTCTAGCTTGGAGCCCTATGTTCCACTGGGAGCATGAAAGAAAAAAAATAGGGTCAACTGGGTCCTTTAACTTTCAGAGCTTGTCCTACCTGAGTGAGTTTGCAGGTTTAAATGCCACCGTAATTCCTGCTTTATTTAGAATCCTACGTAGGGTCTCAGATGTCCCCTCTTCATATGGTATAACTGTAGATGACTTATATTCTCTCTTATTTATATTATCATTACTAGTTTCACAATTATTTTTATTTTGTTTTTGGCCTTTAATGATCTTCCTAATGAATTTTGAAGGATAGTTATTCAACACCAACGCTTCTTCTATCTGTTTTAATTCATCATTTAGATCTTTTTTTGTGCTACTTAGTGCCACTGCTCGGTTTGTTAAACATTTAACTAAGCCTGCCTTAACAGTTAAAGGATGAGACGAATTAAAGTCTGAATATCTATTAGAATGCGTTGGTTTTCTATAAACACTAGTGTGTAGTTTGCCTTCTTCTATTCTTTTTATCTTGCAATCTAACATAGCTAATTCTCCTTGTTCATTTTCTGATTCAAATGTGAATTTTATTCCCTCCACTAGTGAGTTTATGTGTGTGAAGAAGCTAGAGATATGTTCTGTTTTTAACACTGTGAAAGTGTCATCCACATATCTCCACCATATCTGAACGACGTTTTGTCATACTATATACGATGCTGCCGGTGTATATTCTACTTGAAGAAGATTCTATACAAGGAGTGAATATTTCGCAAGAAATTTCACTGAGAATTTTTACTATATGTAAACATAATCTCCCCAGAATAAAGCTGTTATTGTTTTATATGAGTAATGAATGGTGTCTAATAGAAAGTTCTTATTAAACTTGATTTCCTGTTGTGTTTTCCCATACTCTGCATTATTGTCTTTTAAGGTTACCAACCTACGTCACTTATTTAATCTCACAGTCAGCAAACTGATGACACCCGATCAGCATAAAATGGACTGATGACCGAAAATACCTATTGACTCATGAAGCGAATTTTCTTTATCGGCGAAATCATCTTCACAGACTGTACAGTCGTATTGATGTTTAATAAAACCTTATAGTAGTAGTCTGTTATTGAGTAATGGGAGGCGGAAGCAATATAATTGATACAACTGCTCGGAAATAGTTTCTAAAGATAAATAATTACGCCATAGTCAATGACACAATGGAATTAAGGATCTGAAATTTAATA